CACACACACACACACACACACACACACACACACACACACACTGCTTCAATTAACAGCACTGTGCTTGCTCAGCTTCATATGGGGACACTTAGGGTTTCCAGAGGTTTAAGAAGATATTGAGAAAACTCATTAGAGAACTTTGGAAAAGCTAGCACACAAATTAACCACCATAAATTTAGAAAGGAAATCAATAAAATCACTGACTGGGGGTTATATGTGAACAATGGAAAAGGTTAACTAAAACAAAAATGTCCACAGGAGTTCCAAAGAAACAGCAAGGAATGAAAGACGGTGAGTAGATTGACATTCAACAATGGCTTAGAGCAAAGTAAAATAAATAAATAAATAAAGACGTTGATTTGATTTAACAAGTAGATAACAGATGTTTGTGGACCCAGTGAGCCACCAGGTCAGTTCAGGACATAATGGACAGCACAAAAGCAAAGAAAAAACTACAGAATAGTTAGCAAAACTGTTTATTTACTCATACAAAACTATGATTCTGACAAGAGAAGATAAATTAATGCCCTGATATTTTTTGGACAAATAACACATCGCCAAAGAATTTAAATAAATCTCTGTAGCATCTAAAATTTTATCTGGCAGAGTTTTATGTGAAAGTGCATGTCAGTATTTTATTTCAAATGTGATTTATTGGATTTGAWTTACAGTGAACACCCGCAAAAATCACGTTTGACAGTTTGCGGACTCAGTCTTTCGCAAATTTTTTTTACAGTACGTGAAGTGGGCCCTGTGCACCGTTTGGATCTGTTTATTGTTACAGTACCGTGTGTAGMTGCTAACGGCTAACTGTTTAGCACTCACCATTTTTTAAAGACCCTCAAGGAGAAGTTTGATTGGTTTACTTCAGGAATAACAAAGTCATGCCGCCGTAGCGCCATTACGTCAACAAAAGCACAGTTCGCTACAAGAAGAATGAGGCAACGATTAGGAACATTGTAAATCTCMTTTTTACTGGACAATCAATATAATTCAGTTTGGTGAGTACCCATAAATTTTACAGTATTTTTATTGAATTAAAATTGATTTCTACAGTATATTTTATGTATTGGGAGCATTTTTAGGGCATATAATGGGATATTTTTGGACTGCGTCAAATATTTGCGTTTTTTTTTTCATAATTCTGTAGTCTGAGATTGTAACCCCCACAAAAAAACAGGTGGTTCACGGTATTTTAGTTGTGGAGCACATGGAGGAAAATGACACAACCAACAGAGACAGAAGTGTGACCTTTTCATCCCCAAACGCACACTTGTAAGGTTTGAAGGAAGTTTGTTACCGATTGATTAAATGTAGATCCAGTTTTTTGTATTTTATACGTTYTGATCATTGCAGCCATATCTKATTGATGTTCTGTCTTCATAAACAAAAGTTRGCTAYGTTCTAACGTCTGACGTAAAAGGTACCACATTCAGGAAGAGACATTTGTTAAAAAAAAGATGGAATCATCATTATTATTGGGGCAGAGGTTTTTGTTAGYTCTTGTGTGCAGTATTCAGCCAGGGACAGCTGCTGCTCCTGAGACTTTGTTACTCGTTTAGTTTCGGATAAGGTGCCAAAAAGCCTGACTGCTGCTGTGTACTGCTGTGGAGCTAATTGGAGAATAAAGTTTTTAGAAGAGATTCAACTGGTTTTCTGCTATATTATTCAGACTTCCATGTATTGATCACAAATTCCCTTTGGGGTCTATAAAATCATGGATAAAGCCCTTTATACTTAAACACGAAGAGTACCAAGAAGAATACCATGCAAGTTTAAAAATTAACATCTCACTCAAAAAGTATCCAGCCGAGGTTCAAACTACTGCAATCTCTTGGATTTAAAAAAAGAGGCCAAAACAATAACCTTTGTCTGGTGTCAATGATATTAGCAATATGAAAAAYATGGATCAAATCTGCACAAATATGTGGGATACTAGCTTCAAATTGTATAAAGTGATGCTGAATCCTCAACATGGGATAAAACTTAACTGATGGCAGCTTGTTCAATCGTATTAACTCCAGCGTGCATCTACTTAAGGCAGTGGTCTGCAATGTGCGGCTCTGGGGCCACGTGTGGCTCTTTGGTCCCTCTGCAGTGGCTCTTTGAA